CCTGGACGGGCTTCACTTCGGATGCGCCGGTAGCAATATCAACGATCTCCAGTCGATGGACCAAGTCGTATGGATCCCCATATAATGGCTCAGACATGTAAATTTTGTTCTCCTTGTACTTGGATACACTTGTTCCACTGAAGCTTTCATTGAAATGTTTAGACACGAACGGTGTCTGATCACCGATGTCCCTCACCCTGGACCACTCTGGCATACGGTCGTGGATGTTGCACTTGTAGATCGCGCTGCTGTAGGTGAAGCTCTGTGTCTCGTGGAACGTGCTCACCATGGCACCCACAATGTGCAGCTCACCGTTTGATTCCAGGTAGCTGCGGTGGCAGAGCCCCGCAGGTGGCGACAACGATGGCAGCAGCGTCGCGGTTGGAGTAGCGCAGGCGGCGTTGCTGCTGCAGACGGAGATTTCTCCAGTGCAGTCGATCGCCAAGAACTTGTCTTGGCAGTGGACGATGGACTCCACGGAGAACTCCAGTTTGGTGTCGACAGCGTCCATGCGCTGTCGACTCCAATCTGGCAGAACGCGACCTCCGTGGAGCACCCAAGCATGGCCATGGCCACGCACTCGTGGTCGGCGGCGTCAGGCGGCGCCGAGAGCATGATCTCATGGAAGAACACGTCCCTCATGTCTTCTAGCTTGATGGCTCTGCCTGCGGCATCCGCGTCCCCTTAGCCGTTGGTGGGATGGAGGACCCACCGACCATGGACCCTAGACACGCGTTACGATGAGGACGCCGCCGCGACGTGTTCGCCTGCTGCCGGGAGCTCAACGCGGGGGGCACGGGAACCGACGAATGGATTCAGCAGCGTCATGGACGCCGCCTCGTCCATGAGCGCTAGCCACCCACACGAGGAGCCGCACGCCACCTTGCCGCGCACGTCGGGCAGCGTCTTGGACAAGACCTTCTTCTCCGGGACACAGTAGAAGCCGACGCGGTCCGAGTCGGGGTCGAACGGGAGCGGCAGGAGCGGCCCGAAGGTCGCGAACGGGACGACGGCGCACCATGGGGAGCAAGCGGATTGGAAGGACGCCGCGTCATGGCCTGACACGAGACGCTGCCCGATGGACTCGAGGAGATCCTCTGGCAGGCCGGATCTCCAGTCAGGGAGAGGTAGGGACCTTCTTTTGAGATTGGGAGGCTCAGCCATAGAAGATAGATGACATCAACTATGGTTCACGTAAGAAACAGCAAGCGAGGGCGATGGAACACGTGAGCGTGAAACCAAATGAAAGGAGGAAAAAGCTATCCCTTTTGCAAATGTAAAGAGGGGAAGTAATTAAATGTAGGCAGATTTGGCAAGGTTCTCAGAAATGCAAAGATGTTTCTTTTGTCTTAATTCTCTTTCCTTCTGTGTTAATTCTCTTTTTCTTTTGCTCGTTGCCATGTATGCTGGTGCATGCAAACATGCAATGTGTATATGGATAGCACAATAATTTTTTACTTCCTATTTTACCGTGATTCCTCTATCACATAACAGACAATATTCAATCAAGGAGAATGACGCAATCAATCAGTAATTAAGATGTCGTGGGATTGCAGGCGTGGGTAGACGGACGAACCAAAACAAATATCGCACCAAAAAATATTCACACTTTATTTTTTTTAGTTGTAGGAGATATATCAACGGTTGGTTAGCTGGCTGAAAGCGATATGCTTCTTTCTTTGCACAAAAAATAGAGAGTAATTTCCAGGGACTTTGCCTTTTAATTTTCTTTTGGCTCGAAGTCTGCATGTTTGTCTTTTTATTGTTGGCTCAAAATGAAACTAAAATTCCAGCCACATTAAGATGTTTGCTGAATCGATTACGGTGTAAACAAAAGTGATGAGCAGGATTTAGCGTAAATCATTTTGATTAAGTTTAACAAATTAGAGCCAATGGAAGTAGTTGCACGTTTCTCCTAAATTATACAACCAGACCTTGCGGTTCACGAGCTTTGGCATCATATAAATTTATTTATACCAGCAGCTGAGCAAATCTCCATGCGTCAGAGGGAGCACGAGTCGATACCCCGCGCACTGCGAAATGTAAGCAGGCACGGTCAACGGATCCGGAGATTTCTGATAAACTAGTGCCGCCGCCGTTTACATGGAATGGAAGTAGTCTTGACGGGAGGGAAAAAAAACATCTGAAGGCTGAAATCTGAAGCCTTTTCCACATAGCTAGCTTAGCTTGTCCAATAATGTCCAGCCGCGCGAAATCTTAGTAATGTACTTGTGATTTGCCAGCAAGAATATGCCACTTTAGTTCCAATTCTAGGTATTACTTACGCAGCTTACTAGGAGCCGTACCGTACAGAGATGAGAAACTTTGTCCTAGCCGTGCATGTTCTTGAATTCCACTACCATCATCCTTTTGTTTTCTGTAAACTTATCCAGTCAGATGTTTGCGCGAAATCTTAGTAAAGGAAGCACTTGAAGGTTTCAGAACCAGTTCAGAACACTGACACCTGGAATCTCCGGTCCACTTCTTGGCGGTAGGAGTAGAGGACCAAGCAAATCCGCACCTTCCTTCACAGTTCACAAGTACTCTTGGCAAGTAGCAGCAGATGCAGATAGCAGCAAATCCGCACCTTCCTTCACAGTTCAACAAACACTTGGATTGGATCGCGCGAGGCGAGAGGATAAGCGAGAACACAAAAGATCTTTGTCTCTTTTATTTACCGCCCCAGGGGACCGCCACCGCCACTCCGGCCGACACATCAACCACTGTGAGTGAATCCGCCATGGCCATTTTGTACACACTAGTTGCTGCGACGGCACCGTGCTCGGCCGCACTCGGCTTAAAAAACGAGCTCGGGGCTGTCATGTCCTAACTCCTGATGCCAAATACTACGCACACCACCACGAGAGACGACACAACAGAGGGACAATTCTTTCTTTTAATTTACCAAATGCTCGCGCACAATTGGAACAAGTAAGCCGCTGGTGACCAGGAAAGCAATTCCAGGGAGGGAGATTAAGAAAAACAAGTAAGCCGCTGGTGACGCCAGAAAGGAGACGACGAGTACTCGATTCTTTCCTCACTAGAAAAAGTGGAAGCCAAACAAAGAAAGCTGAGAGGGGGAGAGAGAGAGAGAGAGTAGACTAGCATTAGTTTATAGTGGCAATAATTGTTTGGCAGGCATTGGGAATCCCGGCGCCAGTGTTTCCATCCCCCAGCGTTGAATTCCAAGAGATCTCATCTGCCTCTCGTCCTCCTCGGGCCGTCACGGCGGCGGCTCGGCTCGGCTCTCACCACTCACTCGTTTGGTGCTGGTGGTGTGCGGCGGCAAGTTGTGGAACTGGCCTTTGCCCGCCCCCTTCCTTTTTGAGCGCATATAAGCGAGCGGCGTCTCGCCTTTGGGGTCGGCGGGGCCGCCGCTTTTTGGTTGCGCTCTCCCCTCCTCTCCCCCCTACCCTGCCTTTCCATTGGAGCGCACAAAGCCGGACGGCACCACCATTTAAAGAAGGCCAAGCACACGGCGGAGGAGAAGAGCACCACCACCTCACACTCCATTCACGCCAGGGATTGATTGATCGATCGCGCTGCGCGCTCTACCTGCTGCACACACGCTTGCCTCTTCTGCTGCTGCTGCTGCGCAGGTGCGTTTCTTGATTTATTGGAATTCGGTAGCGTGATCGGGAAAAGATCCTGATTTGGCAGGATAGGGCCGGCGGGCGCCCGGGCTGTGCTCGTGCGTGCGTTAGTGTTTTCTTCGTTCGGTTGCGTGACCTAATGGAAACAAGGGAGCTTGGCGGTCGCTCGGGCCGGCGTGGAATTCGATGTGGAAAGCGAGCTCGCCTGGGGGCCGCCATCTTTCGTGCAATCATCGTTGCTTGATTTGGTTTCTTCCTTTTCGGTCAAGTCTTTCCGTGCTGCTTCTCTAGTGTACGGGCAGTTCGGGTTCCATCTCGAGGTTTCCACCGTGCTGGAGGGTTTGGGCGTTCGGCTTCTCTGCCTTCTTGAGCTTCTGTTGGTGTTGTAGAGTCCCTACAGAAGGCTAGTCTTTGAGGTTCTTTTGCTAATCGCTTCTTTGATTTGTCCGACTGAAAGCATGATTAAAACCTTGTGTCCTCAACTTTTGATAGTTCGTTTCAGTTTTGGTGCTTTCTTGCGGTGAAAATCTCATGTGCAATTCCTCTGAGAAGTCTCTTCCAGCATGATGTTTGTACTATCTTTACAAAGAGAAACATGCACTCGTATTTGTCAATTCATCTATGATGTGGTTTTGATATAATTAACTTGTACTGAATGTAAGACTCTTGCTCTGTGTACTATAGTGTTCTGCTGCTGACATGGCTGAATTATTTCCACATGGTGCAATCATGCTTTTTCGTATATATACAAGTGCTAATGATAGTCCATCTAGTTGTGCCAGCTTTGGTTAGCCACTTCTTGTAAGACCCATGTGAGTAACTAGTTATTGAGGACATTTGACTATAATAAAAAAATAAACTGACTGAGCATTGGATGGTATCTCTTCAGACTCTTTTCTTCATTTTGTGAAGTGACCACTGGTTCTTCTCTTTGAAAAGTTGGTTCTCGCTAACCAGCTGAAAGTTTATTTTGAATTGGATTAGATTAAGTGATTATTGTGCTACTTTGTGAGCTGTCAAATCTCTAGTTCTTAATATAATGATACGTGGCTCTCCTGCGTGTTCGATAAAAAAAGATCCTGTAGTTTTATTATTGTCCCCGAGGACCAGATTCACCAATGTTCCTTCTTTCATGTCTTCTGTAGGAAGTCTAAAGTGGAAGTCTCTCAGAACTGAGTACTTTTGTTAGAAGAAAGATTTGTTCTGTCAAGCTTTGCAAATTATCATCATAGTTTGGATGACATCCATGGTTACTTTGACGAGTTTATGGAGCCCTGGTTGCTGAGCTCATCTGGGTTCTCCGACAATGGAACTGTAATATTTGCGGCAAAACTTTATTTCCTCATCTTGGAAGAAAGTTTCAAGAAGGGTTGACAACTTACAAGTGTTCCTGTGAAGCTTGATGACATGTTCGTGAGGGAGGAGTGGGAGAGCGAAATTTCTTCTGTTATGCAGATGTCAACAGATCCTAACAACTCTGGGGTATTTCCACATTCATTCTGCAACCAACATGTGGTTTCCTTTCAGACGAGTTCAATTACCAGTGGATCAGGAGCCATACCAGTTTGTCTAGACACTTCCAGTGGAACGAATGGCAATATGGCGATGTTGAACACTACATCTTCAACAATTGTATCCACTGGTTCACCAAACATGATTTCTGATTCTTCTTGCCAGAACCTCAAGTATAGTGCACCGTTGGCTGTGGAGTGGTCCTATCTGGAGCTGCAAATGTTGAATGATGGCCTCAACAAGTAAGATATACTTCCATATAATCTGAATTAAGTATATGTTAAAAAAAATCTGAATTAAGTAGCTATTTCCATCTCACCTTAATAATGAGACATTTTATCCTATATTTACTATTCAATTTTAAACAATTTAATCATGACCATGCCTTGAAGTTGAGGCCAAACTGCCAAGATTTTGTGTGTCCCTCGGTCTTAGAATATATATTTAGTTGTCCTAAGTCAAACCATCCTAAGTTTGAGCTGAGCCATCAAAGAAGCAAATTTATGAAAATATATTTCATAACGTATCTAATAAAGTTCATTAGATATTGTAAATACCACTGTTCTTTTCTACAGATTTGGTCAAACTTAGGATGGTTTGTGTTATGGCAAGTAGAGCCGGCCCAGGGGCCCACGCGGTACTGTAGCGCGTGATTAGATTAGATTAGATTGTTTGGTTTGTTAGGAAAGAGATATATATGTGGTTTGGTTTGTTAGGAAAGATATATGTTAGACTGATTCGGTTAGGATATTTTTTTAGGGGTCAAGTCAGTCATCTCTATAAAAGAGAACCCTGTATCAGTTATAGTCAAGCAAGAAGCAACAATTAAGTTGCTGGCTTCCCCTGGGAGCCAGCCGTTCCTGCCCTCTCTCCTGCTTTTCCCTCGTGTGAACAGTACCGCAGGTACTGTAGCTCCATCGCCGCCTCTCCCTCTCAATCCTAGCAGCCACATAACAGTTTGTCTTAAGACAACTGAAAATCCATTATGTTCCAGGACGGATGGAGTATTATGGTTTCATAAACTGAGTTTTGTGATGTTTGTGGTTGATTCTAGTCAGAAATACACCTCTGTTGTCTGTTTTTTTTATACTATGATGAAAGGAGCACTCTTTATTTCTATAAGGAATTGTTACATGAGCAATTTGTTGGAAATATTAGATCCCTATTCTCTTACTATAGATGTTATTTCACATTCATGCCTTTTACTTATACTTAGTCCAATAAAAAGAGAGATGATGTTTTTGCTTATCATATATTTGAAGCTTTTACCTATCAGTTCGTTCCTAATAGTTTATCCTTTTGGTTCACTGGCTAATGAAATTTTCAGGTATGCAAATGAACCAGGAATCATGAAGTACATAAAGATAGCAGCCATGTTACCAGACAAGACAGTAAGAGATGTTGCCATGAGATGCCAATGGATGGCAGCGGTTAGTCCCTGATTTCTCTGATTTATTACGCAGAGTCTGAATGTCATTTCCTCATCTGTTATATTCAATCTACATTTCAACCCAAAACTTAGGTAGCTAACATTTCATAAACCTGAACTCTGATAGATACTAAAGCCATGCAATATGTTTATCCAGTCTAGATTATTCATTTGAAAGGAATATGTGGTCCCATATCAGCTTATGGATGGAGACTAACAGTAGTTTATACTTGTGTGACTTGTCAAGATGATGTCACCATAATTCCACTAAACCAGTGCCACGTATGTGAAAGTAGATCATGCTGAAGATACACTTATTGTCCACATCTATAAAAATACTATATTGGTCGATTATGAACATTAAAGTTAGTGTGATCTGAGCTGGTCCTCCTAAGTATCCTTTTGAGCTGTTGCCTCATAGAATTACCTTTGTATTTGTCTAGTGTGTACTAGAATAATATAAGGAAGGCTGACAAGTGTCTGCTTTTCTCCTGTGTGTTCGAGAAAAAAAGTCTCTGCTTTTGACATTACTAATAATAAGGTTTGCAGACTAAAGTTGGCCTGCTCCTGTTTCATGTCGAGAGTTCATAGCATGTATAGCGCATGGAAAGGTTGCGATTATTTTATTTACATTTTTCAGTTAGTACAACAGAGATGGCATATTTGATCCGACTGATCAGTGAACAGCATTCAACTATATATAGCTGACACTGTCAATGCAACAAATAAGAATAATTCCATGTCTCTCTTTTTTAGTGTCAAGAAAGTAGGAGATATTTTTAGTTTGTTGTAGATGGCAAGCGAAACATTGGTCTGTCGATCCACCATTCTACCTTGAGTAATAATTAGTTGTATCCTACTTGATGCTTTCCACTGGAATGCGTAATAACCAAGTAGTGCTTTATTTTTCATTCTTGTTGTTAATAATGATTAGTTATATTTTCTGAGGGAGTTTGTTCATCATATGTCGCTTTCCTTTTCAATTTCATTGGTGATGATATAGATTTTCTTATAGAGAAAAGAAGCTACAAGACGACGGAAACCTGAAGAACACTATCCTGGAAAAAAGACAAAAGATAGGAAGGTACTCATCCTTTCATTTTTTTATAACATTGTTGTCTGTTGTTAGCACCAGCATACTCTACTTGAAGAAATTACTGTTCTGACTACTGATAAACATTAAATTTGGACTTCTTTGTTCTAACAAATATATTTTGAAACACACCAGTCCATGGCTCCATGCATCTACACATGTTTTGGTTTTGTGGAAATGATGAAATGAACTTAACATTTAACACTCCAGTGGCATCTTCTCGACATAATTTTTTTTCTTCATAAAAACCCCAAACAGGATGATGAATTATAATGTGATACTGTAAAATGCAGTTGGGATGAGAAATGTACATGATACAACCTTATACAAGTAGTATCTATGAGTTCATTTTTAAATGGATCTGATTACGGTTGTTTCTCAGGATAAAATGGCTGAGCCGTCATCATGGGGTACCAATCCTCCTGTTCAGACTGAGATGAGATCTTCCTCATTTATTCCTCAGAACGCCAAAAACAATGGATTTATCTCTGGAGGTTGGTAGGTCACTTAAAGAGTGATCGAGTGATTGACTGTGTGTAACGTACCGTTCACCATTGCTTTTGGCAACGATGAAATATTTGAAGCAATTTTGTGTTCTGAGGAATGCTCGAATGCTATTCCATAAAAGTCAAAACCGTATTAATGCATTTAAACATATAGCATTATTGATATTTGATGGTGATTCTGCTCTGAAGTTATCCTTGGGGCACTTAATTCCATAAAACATCACCACACTTTTCAGCATATTTGAGGATCTTTATATTGTAAATGTTCCAGAGTCCTCTTAGTTTCCACTATAAGCATATGAAGTTTCTTTATCTGCCAAATTGTTGAAACAAACATTGCCCTGATTACTTCAGATCATTCAGTTCTTTACAAGGTTTGACATGTTTCTGTTTCTTTTATGCAGACTCTCAAATTGACCGTGGAATGCTAAATATATTGGAAGAAAATGCTCGACTACTCAATCAAATAGAAGTAAATATTTTAACATCACAGGTTGGTCTTTTGTTTCTTTTTTTTTTTCTCAAACCTTTTGTTTCTTTCTTGTATGATGCATCTTATAATTTAGCCAATTCAGTTTAAGGCATTAGTTATATTTTAAATATGTGTCTTCGTTCAGATCAACTCTGTATTTAGTTTGCTAACAAAACTATAGAAACACAATAAAGGTTAATGGTTGATACCATCCAGACCCAGTGCTCATAACAACTTCTTATTGGAGAGGGAAAAAAAAACATTCCAGCATCTGTTTGGAGCATATTTTTGTGAGAAATTTTCATGAGCAGCAGGAAGATTTAGTTGTGCAGGAGTAATTTTCAATTCCTCTGAATACTTTTCAGGCTTATAACAACATTGATCTTTTCCATCACGCAAGAAGGAACATCAATGGTCTTCTACAAAGGTAGAGTTTACCACATTTTATACACAAAAAATGGCTCAAAATAATAAAGTGTGTGAAACACGTGTTTATATGGATGCTTTCTCTAATGTGGCACTCTCCTTAATGAACAGCATGAACCAAATTCCCGGAATAATGAGCAAGATGCCCCCATTGCCTGTTTCGGTGGATGAAAGGCTAGCTAGCTACATACTCCCTCGTGATCCTATGGTAAATGTCTTCTGCTTTGCCTATGATCTGCAATCTGGTACCTTGTTGGTTGTTGATCAGTATCTTAGCTACTGATATGAAGATACAGAATAAAAAATGCAGTCTGGGCTTGACCAATATTGGGCTGCATATAATATGTCACCACTAACCAGTTACTCCAAAATCACTTTTATCATTGGCTCGATATTCTGTTTCGTCCTGCCATTACTAAATAATACTCACTGAATAGTTGGTGATACTTAAATTGCTTATTTGTTAGCCAAATACTCAAGGAGTATATAAAACGTACATTCATTAGTAATTTCTGTTCTCTTATCACCGGGTTCTACTGAAATTCTCACTCTTGATATGTCACTGCTTTCATTTGAAGGTACAAGTTCTTGGCAGCAGTCATTTGAAAGAAGAACCAAGAGTATGGTAGGCCACTGCTAGACAGGGCAGCAGCTCAATTTTCAGCAATAGGTTGATCAAAAATATCTGAAGAGCCATGTGCTTGGGAATCTGCATGGAGGGCATAGGTGAAAGAACGATCTGGCTTTTCTGATGTCTGAAAGCTATAGAAGCAACATGATCCACTTCAGCACATAGCCTTAAAAAAACGCTGTCCAGCTTGCCTTCTCATGATGCTCTGTATTAGTGATTATGAATTTGAGATAGGTAGAGTTTTCCGTAATCTGCAGTTTTGCTCACCTTGGTTGCACATATTGATTCTTTTTCGGGTTTTGTCCTGGTGATCGATGTTAACAGAAGTGTAGCATAGAAACTAAACTTGATATGAATAATTAGCGGGAAAAGCTTAGCCTTTTTGTCAGTTATCACTACAAAGGTAACCAGCCTTCTGTGTGTATCTAGTATTCTAGTTCTAGTTATAATGCATATGCAAGCCTGGTTCTCTAAATTGCAATCTCAATCTCTTTGAAAATTGAAACTGCAAGAATTTAGCAGCATTCCAGTTAAAGTGCTGTAACACATACTCCACAGCAGAGTATCAAGATGGGGATCGAGGGAGAGTAGTAGTAGCAGGAAGTCACAGTACGTTTTCATTTTCAGTTTGTATGACACTGATTTGTGGGATCTTATTGTCAGATGTCGTGAGGATGAGAGCTTATAGCTGCCCATGTAACATTGAGACATCACGCAAAATATTTTGAAATACGTAGAACTAAGGGAAAGGAAACCTTCATCCTCGCTACTGAGATCAATTCCCATCACCCTCGATTATTGTCTGTGATTGCTCACGTCTCTAAAATCCGAACTGAACTCATCGGAGGCCAAGGGTGTTGCATGTAACATACTAACATGTGGTATATAGAGGCAACGCTGTAAGCATCCTTTGGATGTTCTTGCCTAATGTTTGGAGTGAAACTCCGTAGCTTTTGGCAATCTGCGCAACGTTTACCATCAATCGAACTCAGCTAAATTCATCAATCTGCGTAACGCTGTACAACGACGCAGACCAGGAGCAATATAACGGGGATAAAACCACTTGGCAGCTGATGTTTTTCAAGCTTTGCTTCATCCAGCTCTCTCCCTATGTATGTGCACAGGTGATGTAGCTAGGTAGTGCCCACATTTCTTACACGGTGCTGGACATGTCATCCTCGTTTCTACGACAGTTTCTTCAGGCACGCTTCTCCCACATTTTAGTGATTCTTCAGAAGCACTGACGACAGGCGATGGGATGTTGAGAGGACATCACGCTGCTGCCGGCGGCGACTACCTCACGGAGCGCCTGAGCCGCGTCGCCGTAGCACAGCTTCACGACGGAGACGCTCCGGTTCGCCACAGCATCACCCAGCTGCATGCACGCATTTATCCAAGAGCAGTTTCAGCGTCAAATCAACTCATCAAACGCACCCACAAACTCAACTAGTTTATTGTGTTGTCTTTGTCTACACAAGGGCCCTTTGAGCTTTCCGAGTTTGACCATGACTACTTACGCAGTAAGGCAGAGGTGCAACTTCAGTTTATTGGCAAATACTAGTCAACTCAAAAGTCAAGAACCAGAAGAACTTGCTTAATGGTGCACAAGCATTGATATGCAGTTCGTAATTCGTTTATATCTGGATGATCTGGCTGGCTTTTGTTGACCTGATTATGATACAAAGTAAGGTGAGAAGGTTCTCAACTCTAAACAGTATTGTCCCCATCTGGTACAAATTGTTGATCGAGTACTGCTATGTGTAAAATAAAATCTACCATACCATGTTTTTCTAAAATTGGCCGATAAATGGGCCATGGGGTAAAAATGTTAATTGTTAAAAAGTATATTGTTTTTTTTTTCATGTATGGCATTGGTACTACCTGGTAAATTTATCATGCTGACTGAAAACAAAAACAAAAAAGAATGCTTCTAATAAAAGCAACTGCTACTAAAGATGGGAAAAGAAGGCACCGATCTCATAACCTCATTCATGAAGTAGAAGAAATCACTGGCGAGAAGGGTGATCTCCTCCCTGCGCTCCTCGCACTGGTTGCAGGCAATCACACGATTCAGGTCAATGTACAGGAAGGTGGCCTTTAGCTGGAGATCCCTCCTGACCAAATCCCACAGGTCATCATCCAGATCAGTCGTCAGATCCTCCTCCATGGACAGAAGCTCAAGTGCCGAGCTCTTGATCCGACAAACGCATCCCCTCAGCTCCATCCCCTGATCCATTGGTGCTCCTGCCAGTGCCCTCTGCAGCTCTGCTATATCTTGCAGTTGCAGATGACAAAGGATCAGAGCCAATGATGTGGACGTATTTATGGAAAGGCGAAAAGAGAAACTGATTCTTGGAGGATGTCTAGAAGCAAACAGATGTCAGCATGTGCATCAGAGGAAGGCCCCCGTGTAGTGCGGCAAGGGGCAAAGTGGTCAGTGCAGAAGATTACAAGATTAGTTATGCATGAAAGATGAGACCTTTCTGAATGTTGTTGGACTTTCTTTAACTGAAAAAGAGAAAATAGGAGGAAAAGGGAAGCCAAATTTTGCCACCTTTCCTCTCCTTGGACATCCAGCAAGGTAGGCAGCAGAAGAAAGTATCAAGAGTTGCTCACAAGGAAATTGATGAAATGTTTATAACCAAACACCGTTGCAGCCATAGGAGAAGTATAGAAACTTTCGAACAGAGGTCTGGGTTGGTACCGAAATTAGAACATAAAAATAAAGAAATGCAATGCTTTATTCAGGGAAGAAAGTTAACAAAAAGCAAATATAATACTCCCTCCGTCCAAAAAAAAAAAAATTGATGATCTGGGATTTTCCAGACAGATTAGTGAAGAAGAGAAATGCCCCTAATACCCTTAGTATGTCACACATGATTCCCTTAAAAGAAGGGATGTCGCGTGGTTTACTTCCTAATTAAGACGCACTGCATGCAAGCATGCAGAGATTTGAGGCAGGCAACAATCAGTAGCACATCTCAATTGGAAATTTAGCGCCGGATTTGTAGGCCAACAGCGTGTCTAAAACTCAGAACATCATTTTTCCTGGGACAAATTTTAAATCAATGGAGAGCCTGGGGACTCTATTTTCCATCACCGTGGGCTCAGACAGGGTGACCCGCTGTCACCAATGTTGTTTATTCTAGTTATGGATGTCCTAAATTCTTTGGTCAATCACGCTACTTCGATGGGTTTGTTGCAGCCTCTGGCCATTCAGCAAGCAAGGCATCGGGTCTCCTTTTATGCTGACGACGCAGTAATTTTCCTGAGACCATATAATTTGGATCTGATCACCATCAAGCACCTCCTAGATCTGTTTGGACATGCTTCGGGCTTAGAACTAATCTAGCTAAGAGCTCAGTTTCCCCTATTCACTTTGTCTTGATGAGGAATTGGCTCTCACGGCAGACATCCTCTCATGTTCTATAAAGTTTTTTTCCTGCATGTATCTTGGCCTCCCGCTCTCAATTGGAAAACCAACTAAAGATGTGCTGTTACCTTTAGTGGATAAAGTGGCAGATTATCTCCCTGGATGGAAGGCTTCTCTTATGAACAGAGCTGGGCGGCTAGTCATGGTGAAGGTTGTGCTAACTGCTGTCCCAATATACCTTTTAACGCCTGGACCTTCCAAAATGGGTGATTAAGGCTATTGACAAAAAACGGCGAGGCTTCCTTTGGAAGGGTCACCAGCAGGCCAATGGTGGTAATTGCCTAGTAGCTTGGGAAAAGGTGCAAAGACCACTTGAGTATGGATGTCTTGGGATTCATAATCTTGAACTTCCGGGATGTGCAATCAAGATTCGGTGGTCTGTGGGCTTAAAAGAGCAGATCTTTGAAAGGTCTTGGGCTGGCCTTCCTATCTCTGTTCCTCATAAAGCCGAGGCTCTCTTCAATGTTGCAATCGATGCCATAGTAGGAAATGGAGAGGAGATATTGTTCGGAAAGATAGATGGTGGGGGCATTCCATGGCTAAAATAGCTCCTAACTGTTCAAGGCAGTCCCAAATCGAATGTACCAAGAGAAGGACGGTGGCACAAGCCTTGCATCATAATAGTTGGGTTCAGGATATTAAAGGAGCACGTCTGATTGTGGTCATGCTTGAGTACCTTCGTATTTGGGACATTGTGGATGGATTTATTTTGCATCCGGAGATTCCGAGATCAATATAGATGGAAATTAACTCATGATGGTTCCTACACCATAAATCAGCTTATGCGAGTCTTCTTTGAGGGAACCATCAAGTTTGGGTCTTGGAGAAGGATCTCGGAAAACTTGGGCTCCTCCGCGCTGCAAGTTCTTCATCTGGTTGGTATTTCACAACCGGATTCGGACAGCCGATAGACTTGCAAGGAGGAATCTGCCCCATCCCGAGGCTTGCCCATTATGTGATCAAGAGGATGAAACAATAAACCATTTGCTAGTGGGCTGTGTTTTTGCCGGCAAGTTTGGGCCCTGGTTTTGCATCAGTTGGGAATGCTACAGATTGGCACCACTGACCCTCTGTGATTCGTTTCTCGTGGTGGTGGAAGAGAACAATTGCGGCTGTCCCTAAGGATTTGCGTAAAGGCCTCAACTCCTTGATAATTTTGGTGGCTTGGGAGATTTGGAAGCATCGCAATTCTTGTGTCTTTGATAATAAGAGGCCAAGTGTTCAGGAAGTCCTTAGGGCTATTAGCTCGGAGGGGTGGGCTCGGTGCTCGCGGGGCCTCCAAACTCCTGTGGAGCTGGTTTTCAAAGTTGTTGTCTTCTAGAGCTTAATGCTTGGAGAAGTTTGGTCGTCCTTTTTTCCTTTTTGTGTGGCGAGTCAGTAACCTAGTTCTGGGGAGTGGGGTGTGTGTGTTGGGTCACTTGGACCTTTGTAATTCTTTCTCTACCTTAATGAAATGACGCGCAGTTCTCCTGCGCTGTTCGAGAAAAAAAAAATTAAATCACAGAACATCACTTTTTTTGGACGGAGGGAGTATTATAGTACACTAAAGAAAATTACGATATGCAACTAAATATGAACATATTTTGGATGGCGTTTTATAAAGAACATTTCTACTAGTCTATAATTCATGACGTCTGTTGAGGGTGCATTATATGTTGGGACCCTCATTGTCGTGTTCAAGGCCCAATTACATAGCGTTGGGGTCAACAATATAATATTTGGGGTCCATTTGTAACCTTTGATTGCATCTTTGTAAATACAAACCCCACCGAAGTTCATTTATAGCCCCTAATGGCATTGTTGTGAATATCAACCCCACTATGAGAAATAAAAAGAACATCCCCTCCCACCTCTCCTATAAAAGGGGGAGAGGGGATGGTCACTCGGCTTTCTTCCTCCCTCTCTCATTTGCTTTCTCTCCCTTCGTTCTCATGTTTGGTGTCAACACCAACAACGTCCATAACAAGTATCCTAGTTGATCATTTACCATGAAACACTGTTAAACCCACTGTTTTTGTACATATACTTCTCACATGATTGTTATTTTTCAAGAATGGGTGATTAATCAGACCTCCAGACATCCTAATTTGCAACCAACACACCTCAAATTTGTAGTTTTCCTTTTTCCTCTTTATTTTTTTGTACTCTTGATAAATTTGCATATTTTAACGATGTCATCACAAATTCATAATCCTTGATTGAGGAATTACATGGTCAGTATAAATGCATGTTTTAATGATCTCATCAGCATGACGATTTTTGGTCTACTTTAACTGCATGCGATGTTTTTTTTATCAAATAACTGTGCTTCAAAAAACCAACTTCATGGTGGTCTTTTATTTTTCATAATAAAAGGAGGTAGATTATTCAAACATACAGATCCAGTACTATTTTGGACACTTTGATGCATAAATGGATTAATAAACAAAGAACCTCAGTGTAAAGAGTTAGACTGATTCACGATAGTGAAATAACAAATATAAGAATAGTTCAACAATCTCAAAGACTTAGACCGAGAACTTCTTTTTGTTTTTTTCTTTGTCTCTTAAACTCCTCCATTTTGCTATTTCTCTTGTACTGTGTTCTTGCTTTTTTTTAAAAAAAATATTTTCTCAGTAGGGGCTCGGTCTCTGGCCCCTCCTTTTTTCCTCAATAAAATTTCACTGGCCACACGAAGTTAACAGCATTAAGGAAGAAAAAAATAGAGCTCAGTGGCACAGTGGAGAGATATTCCCACTACGTGAAAAACAGTTTATAGTAACAGGACAAATTTTTTGTTGGGGCGGCTGGTGATGGAGCCTACAGTGGCGTGCTCGGGAGCCCAGAGACCAGCCGCCCCTACAAATAGAACAGCAGGGGCGGCTGGTGATACGAGCCGACCCTACAAATGTGTCTGATTTGTAGGGGCGGCTCACTCATCAGCCGCCCCCGGTGTTTCTATTTGTAGGGACGGCTGGTGATTGAACCACCCCTACAAATACCCCGCGTATAATTACCTGCTATTTGTAGGGGCGGCTCAATCACCAGCCGCCCCTACAAATGACCCACATATAAAAAACTGCAGCACATTCTTTCTCCTCGGGTCACTCACTCCAACCCGTGAAAGAAAGGTGGGGAGACCTTGGGCACCTTCCAAAAATTATTCTACTAAGGGAAGAAGGTTTTGGTCTTAAATTCTTTGGTGGAGAGGTTATAGAAGGTAAGAAAATGTTATTCCACATTTTTTTTGAAGTTTTAATGGTTGGTTAGTGGGTAATTAGAGTTTTGTTTTTCTCTCTCTTCTATGGTGCTTGAGCTACTTATGAAGCAAATTAGACCCAAGTTTTGAATGTACTAGGGTAAATTAGGTAGGGGAACAAGATCATACCCTTATTTAGTCAATGTTTCTTGATTTTAGTGAACCATTAGTTAGTTTTATGGATGTTTCATATGCATGTAGATCTAGATCTAGGGTTTGGTTTTTTTATTAATTTCGTTTTTGTAAATTTATGTTTGATGAAATTGGACTAGGGTTTGCATGAAAGATATTGGGTAAAATATAATTGTTGCTAATTATTGTCTTTGAAATTGTTTATTGTAATCAACAAATATGTATTTTAATTATTTATGGATAAATAGGCCATTAATTAATTTTCCTCTACCATGGTGTGTTTGTATGCTTCATGTAATTATATTTGATTTATATTCATATATATCTGAAGTATATACAATTATTCTCAAGTAATTATTAATTTGATTCATTTTTATATATATCTGAATAAGTAGTCCTTTAATATTTGTTTTGTTGTTGTTGTAAAAGATGG